ACAGGCTGCCTGACGCCCTACTTTGCAGTCTGCCGCCTCCTTGATGAGGGCAATTATTGGTCAGACAAATACTATTTCTCTGGTAGAGGGGCACAGGGATTAATCCAGCAGAAGAAGGCAAAGTCACCCTCTCATCAGGCCAGATTCTTTAAGAAGCTCATCTGAGGGCACTGGATGTCTCATTGATGAGTGTGAAAGAGGGGGCTGATCTGTGGTTGTATGACAGGCAGAAATGGCAGGGGGCTGATGCTAATCTAATTGTGTAGTAATGTACATCTAACCATATACATTTTTAAGACTGTGCTGCAGATTTCAGAATTCACTAGCACTCGTAAGGCAGCATAAGAGCAGTGCTCAAGTGCAAAAATGATCTGGCCAGAGGAATGGGAGACGGCTAGAAGTGGCCTCAGCTGACATTTCAGAGAGTGGCTATTAGCTGAAGCAGGCAAGCCAAGAACTGCATCATTGCTGACAATTAGATTTTGAATTATTCTTTCATTCTTCGGATATTTTCAAAATGTAATCTAAATCTTTTATAAAGTTTATAAAAATGATCTAGAAAGCAAAGTTTGGCTGGTGTTTCCTGCAAATAACAAATTAAATAAAAATCACAATATATCACAACAAAGTATATAAAAATAAAAAAATTTATTGATAAATAAAATAATAAAAAATAAATGACATAAAATATCCAAAATAAAAACACAATACCATGTAATGAATTACAAAAAATACAACAATAAATAAAATAAAATAAAATAAAATAAAACTCACTGTGTAAAGCAGGATTTTAGACACCCAAGAAATAGAAACAAAATGTAGCTTGTCACTTGAAAGATTAAGTCGGAACAAAAACACCTGTAAATCTGCATCTGTAGCTTGATCATCTTTTGCTTTATAATCTCTTAATTAACCATGTCAAACAATGAGCTCCAGGAGTAGTGAAACTGCCTGTCCACAGTGAAATTTGACCGGTTCCCTCTTCACTCAACGGTATATTAAAAATCAAATACGCTGTGATTGTGCTGTCATGTCACATTTTGCAGCGCTTCCCTAAAGGCAAAAGAAGCTGCTCCATTCAGAGCAGTGTCTGAGTTGTGGATCTGATACAAGCAGATAATTAAACCCGTACTGGTTAAGCCGCCTCTGCAGTGCAGAGCGGGATATGACAGGGATTCAGCCTGACTGTGGGGAACAGCAGATGAGTCATCAACGTGATTACCACAGGCTGGGCGCATGAGACAGGCTGTCTAATCTATCGCTACAACACGACCTCCAAAATGACCTCTGCCATTGTGCACTCCGCAACATCTGCCCACCGCAGCCCACGTCAGTCAAGAATTAGCCCTAAATGAAGCGGTGGGATACGTTTTTAAGAAGCGTGTGTGTGTCCGGCTCAGCGGTCCCCATTTTGAGCATGTAACATGGTGAATGTGTTTGCCTACTGAGTTAATAAGCAGCCTTTTCAATTAGAGCTAATTTGGGTGAAGAGCTGAATGGGGTAGCGCAGCTGCAGGAGACTTCACTGTTGCCTATTCATCTGCTCTCTCTCTCTCTCTCTCACTTTTTCTCCTCTTTTTATGATCCTCTCCTCACAATGGGTCAAAGAAGAGAAGAAATTGTGCCGCTTTCCTTAAGTCTGTAGGTGCTGCCAAGTGCAGCGGGGCAGGGCTCATATCATACCTTCCCTCAGCAAGTGCCACTCGCGCCTTCTTTCTGTCATCTCCCAATTTCCTCTCCTTCTCCGTCTCTCTCGCCTCCCACACAAAGAGCATCTCTGGTCAGCCAAAGCGGCATCTTTATTTGTTTGTTTGCACTTCAATATCCTGCGAGCCCAGTCGTGTTATCTGTACGTCGGGGCCGGCAGAGGGCTGCGCCGTGGAGAATGGAGAAGGGCCACGTGCCTGACAGCCTCCGTGTTTGCATAACTGATTGGGCCCTAATCAAAAGTGAAGCATCAATTCCAGCTCTCCCTGTTCTTCCTCCTGAGGAGAACAGAAGGATAAATGGACGAATGAGAGCTAAAGGATGGTGTTCTAACACGCTGTTCGTTCCGACTGGGCTGAGAGGGGCGGCGACCTTGATGTTGAAACATCCTTCAGCTTTCATCAGCACCAGCCACGTCAAATGCCAGAAATCGTGGCGGAACGGAGATGAGGAGAGATGATTCACCGCTTGGAAAACCAAAAGCGGTCGGCACCCAACGTGGGGTGAGATCAAATGGAATAAAAAACAAACAAACCGCAAAACAACAACAGGGTCGCACTGTAAAATTATCTTTCTTAAGACCACCTCTACCTGTGCTCCTCTGGATCAATGCAGCCTTAATCTACAGACTTATGCCAAAATGAGAAGATCTTCTCTCACAGCTTGGGGAAAGCCCGATGGATCCACAGGCTTGCTGGAGAGACACCGAGCTTTAGACGTGTTTCTCGTGGATTTATAGCCTCTGAAACACCCTTCTCGGTCTCATAAAAATGAGACGAACAATGTGTGTGCGTGTGTGTCCTGGCGAAGGGGGAGATAACAGTGAAGGTGGCCTGATCCTGTCGGCTGTTTCTTATCTTATCTACCAGAGGACATGTTAGTATGAAAATGACAATAGCAGCAACACTTGCTCAGAAACTCTGCAATAGAACCATTGGTTGTTTTAGCCTATATGTCTTTGGGGCAAAGAAAACACTGAATCTATCCATGATCAAAGCTGTTCCCCGAGGAGGACTAGAAAGGTACAAACACTGTATATCGATCATACGCACATACTGTAGCATTACACGGCTTTGTGCCATTGATAAGCAATTTATAGTTCTTGTTTACATAAAAAATCACCACAGTAACTTGCATACATGCATGGACTCGGAGAAAACACGCGCGTGCCATCCCCTGCGACCTGTTACAAATCCAGTCACCTGTGCGGATTACAAGAAGTGCCTTGAAAAAAAATTACCTTCTCTCTTTTCAACAGTCAATTTTTAACCTTCACTGCAGCCGAGCTTATAGTAAATCCCAGGTGCTACGAGCAGTCTGGAAAAAAAGCTTTTTCACCCTATATGTTCAACACCAAGGTCATTGACAACATGTGAAATGGAAGAGCGAGGGGACCCTTTTGGAGTGGCACTGGGCAGATCATTTTACAAGAAAAGCCAGGGGATTAAATGAGCGGAGCCAAAAAGGCCCTTTTTGCACTAGAACTGCAGTTTAAGTCGAGCGGTTTTTTAGCCTATTTTCCAGTGAGTCATATGCCAGCAAGACCTTCAGCTCTATATCCAGGGTCAATATCACTAAAAATATACATTCGATACACTCGATTGCTATTCAGCTACAGTTATGAGGCTTTTGGCATGGGCGGATCTGCATGTGTTTATTCGTCCGGTTATTTTTAACATCAGGTGGGAGTTTAGCGTTTAGATATAGGCCTACACATATATTTTTGAGGTGACTTGCTATGTTGTTAGGCTCAGAACTGTTGCAAACATGGTGCTGGGCTAAGACTTCTCGCGGAAGAGAGTGAGCCCACAATGATGTTTTAATCCCCCTAACCGGGCTTAGTCACAGCAGCTCTTCCTCAAGCGCCTGCCAATTTACACTTCCTCATTATCTATTACTCTCGTTCCCTCACCCCCACCCCGCTTCGTTTATTTATCGAAGTCGCCACTGGAATATTCCATCTGCTCTCAACGGTTAGTTTGGGACGCCTGTACGGATTGTTTGAGGTTTATTTGTGCGCTGGCATCAAAGGGGATGACGGCTAAGTGTTCTCGATGCGTCAAACAGCCACCTTTACGCTTAACAGCCATGTCAACAGAAGAATTTCATCGCCAGTGCGGGCCTCTGAGCGACTGACAAACATGAAAAATGTATGCACATAAATAAGGTTGCAAACCCTCTTGAAGATACTCTGATTGCACAGAGATGAGGGAGGCTACATACGTACAGCTGCGGATCAATTGCATGAACACAATGGCATTTTGAAATTGTCAAGAGCTGTTTATGAAGAACGTATTCATATGAAGTTCCTATAATTCTATAATTATTCCATGCATAATTTTTACATTAATGCAAAGCATCAAACAGCAGATACATCTACATGGACTAGTGCTGTGCTTGCTGAAAAAAGACAATAAAACAGCATGGATTTGTCCACCCACTAAACCACGTCTGCCTAAAAGTAAATATACACATATTACTTTTAGGCAGACCTGGTGTAGTGGGTGGACAAATTTTTATTTTTTTATACTGTATGTTTTTAAACTTTTTTTATTTGATCTGGCCTAGACCAGAGTCCAGCTTAAACCTGCTACCCAGACTGGCTTAGACCATCGTTTTTTTTCAGTAGAGATGCAAAAACAAACACACATGTATCAGAAATACATATGGTGCAATTAAAGTAGTACCAGATAATCCAGTTAGCAGAACATCATACTAAAATATACTATGCACGTTTTGATTCTGTTTCGGACCATCGGGTTATCAAAGCTCAGTTCTGAGAACTGAGCCGTGAAATAATATAGCTGCTTTGCTGCATCACATTTATCCCAGACAAAAAGACCTGTCTTTGTCTGGATGGCCAAAAACCTTCCTGAGTCAAGATTTTGGCGATCTGCTGAATTGTATTGTATAGTTGAATGTATGCATTATATCTGTGAAAAAAGACAAAACGAGATGCCCACGGGCTCGTTTGTAGCTCGCACGGGTTTTAAAAGCATCTTGTGTGGCAGTGTTATCTGTAAAGCTACAAGCATGTGGATGTGGGGCTTCAGCGGGGGGCCAAACAAGGCAATATGTGTGTGTCTTTGTACATCAAGATGTATAATGTTTGAGTATGTCAATGTGTATTTAAGTATAAAGCGCCACGGCAAAGTTTTCAGCATGGGGCTGTAGCGAGAGACAGGGACGGGTGCGTGTTGGTGTTTGTGAGTTTGCCGGTCAGCAGGGAGGCCATTACCAGACAGCAGCAGGAGAGAGAAGCACCATACAGAGCTTAACAAGATGGAACTTACCAGGGAATTGGTAGCTGTAGCTTGGGGCGAAACCAGTGTATCCTCGGCCATACGTTGCTACAATGTTTGGATAACCTGAGGGGAGAGAAGAAAATCCAGGGATGTGATAAACCGCTCAGACCGCCCAGAGCTTCCCTATCACACCAATAAATCAGCATGACATTTAAAATACACATATGAGCGAGACGCAAGTGGAAGCGGCTCCTCTTTCACTACATAACCGCAGCCCTCCCCGCCAGGCTGCAATGTAACAGATTAGCTGGCTAGCCAACTTCAGTTTTGCAGTGATGAACAGCATAAACATCACAAGACACAATCTCGCTTCATTCCCTGGGGCTCATCCCTCTTTTTCCCCTCGCTGAGGGAACGGACATGTCTGCGGCTGTCATCTCTCTCTCCCTCCCTCCTTTTTTTCTCACCTCTCCACTGTCATTGATCGATAACCCTTCTTTTATAGCCCGGGCTAATCGATCATGAAGGACACGACAGCGCGAGACAATGGCAGGCTGATAGTTGTGGCAGGACATCACGGATTAAAGTCCCTCCGCGCCACGCAGCCTCGGCCTCCTGCGCGCTAATACCGACAGGATGGCACGAATATGATTGAGCGATTGCAGAAGTCATTCGAAAGTAGAGCGAAACACTGCAAAAGCACGCTAAGGCCGCAATCTGGTTTTTTCCGCCTCTCGCCGTCTTTGCTGAGGCAGAACTTTTTAATGATGACGCTCGGGCGAGTGAGCTGGCTTCCCCTTGACTATTTTATTATCTGAAATACATCTTGTTTGGGAGCAAGGAAAAAAAACACGCCATCAGCAGCGTTTACAACACTGGAACGCATCCTGCTCGTGCTGTTAAGAAAAAGTGGGATGCGACCCAACGCACATGCTCGAGTTGTCTCTCTGCCAGCATTGAGCGGCGGGCCGCCGCATGTCCCTCTTTACCAGGCTAGAGCCCAAAGACCCATTGTTCTTATTCTGTCACAATGGCTTATTACAGTGTGAGCCTAAACACTAATTATCTGGACGGCTTTCAACCAGAAAGAAAAAACGTTTTCCAACGCAAGCGAACGTATCAGCCATATTGTTGCCGCAAACGCCCGAGGGAACAGGCTGCTATAATCACGTGAAAACAATATATATATAAATATATATATATATATATATATATATATAGACTCTATTGTGCCATCCTCTTTTTTGAGGACTCTACAAAAAGTGTGTTATTCACCACCAGTCCTGTTTCTTCCCTCCCAAACACCTAAAAGATTTCGCTAATAGTTATTGGCTGTGCACAGTGCGAGCTTGCACCAAATGATCGCTAGTGGCTTATCCTTGGCTCTCAGCCACAAATGTGAGTTGGTGTTGGAGAGAATAAATATACTCCACCGCAAGTTAGGCTAGACATAACTCGGATCAATTCGGTTTGACATTGCAGAGGCAGACTGGTGGGAAGTAGTCTATGTGAAGATATTGATCCTGTCAAAGTTTCTTTGGTGAGTGTCAGCGCTATAGTAGAGGCTTAAAAGAAATAACTCGCTTTTATGAAGTTTTCTGTCGTTATTGACTGGTTCTGAAAGGAGGCTTTTGTGCTGGTTGCAGTAAATGCTATGTAAACCACAGAGTCGGTTTTAAAATCAAAGACCATTCTTGAGGAAAGTTCAATTCTGAAGGAATCAGGATGAGGAGGAGGATGGGATAAAAGTATTAAATACCCTACTGCCTGAAGTATACAGAAAAATGTTGCAGAACCCATTCTCCTTAAAGGGATATGACGATTTTTCAGGATATACCATTCTCTCTATCCACTCTGCACCATAAAAAACTTCACCTTGTAACCTTGCCTCCAAATTACACGCTTAAATGTTCTGCAGCAAGGTGGCCATCTTTAACTTCGCTCCTTCCAAGTGCTGTATCATATGTTTGCGAAGCCTTAATATCTGGACTCCTCCGTCTCTCTCGAGACTACAGCAGCTCTGTGTACTCTACTCTTAAGGAGGAGCAAATGCCAGACGCCCAAACTAAATATACATGACATGGGCTTTTCCTGTGACATTTAGAGAGATTACTTTAAATGTAGAGGGATGGGGCTCTGTTGACAGTAGGTGATTAACATACTTGTAGGGCCATCACCTATGGGAACAAAACGCAGAAGAAAGAAATCAGTAGTCCTTTAAGGTCTACAACTTTTCAGTTTTCTAAATTCACCCGAGTCTGCTTGAAAAGGTGTTGTGCGGTACAGTTCATACAAATATCTTTTGCTCAACAAGGCTAAATTTACTTGATCAAAAATATTAGGAAATTAATAATAATAATAGGATATATAATAAATAATAATATTAAGAAATATTATTACAATTTAAAATTACTTTTCTATTGTAATACATTTTAAAATGAGATTTATTCCTGTAATAGCAAAGCTGAATTTTTAGTAGCCATTACTCCAGTCTTCAGTATCAGATTTATTTGAAATAGAAACAATATAAATGCCTATACTGTCACTTTTGATCAAATAAATGCATCCTTGCTGGAAAAAAAGAATTAGTTCCTTTCTGGCCCTAAATATTTTTGAATTTATTATTTGAATATATTATTTGCTAGGTCTAAACTCAGGTTTGTTCTAAGCAAATAAACAAGTATGAAAATAGTCTTAAAGTATACAGCTACACCCTCAACTTGAACCCAGAATAATGTCCTGCTGTTCACTATTGCTTTCACACAAAAGCTCACAATAAGGCTGTATTTGTCAGAATACATGTCTAACAAAAGTTGAACAAAAACATGTTTTATGCCACTTCTGGCTTAGCTAAACACAGAAAAACAATCACGTAGGGTACCAATTTTTCCTAGAGACAATTCCTCCACCTCCTCGTCAAAAGTATTCAGCTCAATTGTCAGACCTAAATGGCTCTCCTCTGTGTTTAATGACCGAGCTAAGCCTCAGTGTCGAGCGGTGGGCTCAACAAAGGGCCACACCATGAGACCAGCTCCAAAAGCACCAGACCGCCGTAGCTTTGACGTCCTATAACAAGTGGCAAGACTTCATGTTGCAGTCACGGCCCCTCGGCGGGAGACGAGACTGAGCCAGACGATGCTAAACGCAAGGGGGAGAAAGAGAGGTACCTGAGCCTGAGGAGAAGACTCATTAAGCCACGCCGTCACCACAGCAGACACCTTCCGTCTCCCGGCAACGCTGTAAATAAAGACTGTCACTTAATCTGGCCTAGTGGCGACGGCCTCGCCCTCTTATTTGCGTTATTAATATGCATGCTAATGTGCCCATTTTATGGCTCAACAGTTTCGATTCACTGTAAAATCAATTATCCATCTGGTAAACCTGCACTTTGCGCTGGTTGAGATGTGTATTGGGTATTCTTGTCTGATTCTACGTTTCCTGTCCTCTTGACACACGTCAAATCTACAGAAAAACGTCAAGACAAGCTCTTGCTGGTGTCGGGATGATGGCTCTGGTGTTTGACGGGTTCCAGCGCTCGTCTCTGTGATAGCACGCACGTGTCATATCCGTGAAGACTCTGAAGCGCAACGCTGTAAATAAAGACTGTCACTTAATCTGGCCTAGTGGCGACGGCCTCGCCCTCTTATTTGCGTTATTAATATGCATGCTAATGTGCCCATTTTATGGCTCAACAGTTTCGATTCACTGTAAAATCAATTATCCATCTGGTAAAGCTGCACTTTGCGCTGGTTGAGATGTGTATTAATTTTAGCAAACATACATGAGGCCCAGCACAATAAAGATAAATAGCTCGATTAGGTGTGGTAAACACCGTTGCTCAGAGCGGGGCTCTAATGAGATTTCGGCACATAAGGAATTGCGGTTCCTTAAATAATGAGCCTTGTTGATTTTTGTATGCAAATTACCAAAAGGAATGTTTCGCTGTCCTGCTTTCCAATTTCATTTAGATAAGACGGTGTTGCGATCGAGTGAGCGCGACCCCCTTTAACCGGCTCTCTGCTCCCACTGTCTCCGTCTTCCTCCCTTTCTGTTTGTTCAACACCGATCTGCTTTAAACCCTAATAAGCTCATGACACCCACTTGCGGCGTAATTTCATCAACCTCGACTCGAGTCGACTTGAGCTGACATCGCGCTGTTGGCACTGTGAAGCCGAATGATATCATAGACTCCTAAAATGCTAGGGGGCGCCAGTCGTTGGTGCGAGGTCTCAACGTGCGCTCGCATACACCAAATAATCAACGAACGGACAAATTCGTCCTCCTTTGAGGTCAGTTTGTTGAAATCATAGGTTCATAACTCAACATTACTTACATTTTCCTCTTCATTTAGCACTATAATGTGGAGCCCTGCCCTGGTGAGGGTCGGTCAGGGATTTGGTGGGACTGGAAGCGGAGCTGGCTGAATATCAATAGCATATTTCATGCGTGCCCGGCGAGGATGCTTCATCAAGTCAAATTACGGGCAGGACGACCTCTCCTGCAGCTTCACCCATTAGCTGCCATTCGCATTCTGCACCAGGCATCAAACGATTTATTTGCTTCAGTTACTTTCAGCAGACGATAGAGGAGTTTCAACTGGCATGGCAGTCGTAGAGCCGCTAGCAGAGCGTGGCGACGTTAACGCGAGCGCAGTGCCAGCATCGGAGCGCCAGTCCCAGTGCTCTCTCCGAGGAGCTCTTTCAATGGGCTGTTGCCTCTCCCTGTCTGCCTGTTCCAACATTATGATTTGGTATTTTGTTCTCTGAGTTTACAGTTATGCACTTGTTCCACGCCATCAAGCCCAGCATCTATGCTTAAAGCGTGAACACACATATTTACGAGTATCATTCTGAAACGACCATTTGTCTCTGAGGTCAGCATGAGACAACATTTGCTCTAAAATCACATTCAATGAGTGACTGGATCTAGATTCAGTGAGCACAGAATTTTCCAATAATTCACTAAAAATGTTGCACTAATAAAAGTGTTTTCAGTAATAAATATACATTTTATATAAAAATTATAAATATATAAAATTGTGTATAATAATATGGATTCAACTCAGACATATGTTCTTACTCAGTTATTTATAAAATATTATTGAAATAGTACTAGTAATATATATATATATATATATATATATATTACTCACTGTTAGTATTTAGATTTTAAAATATTTATATAAATATAATTTTATATTTAATTTGTTATTTATTTAAATATAATGTACTATACAATATAACATATATAATTTTGTGTACATGAGGTTTGAGTTCTTTTATTGTACATATAGAAAAACATTGTTAACTTATCAATGAATAAATAAAAGTTTTCTACATTTTCTTTACACAAAAAATACACGTGGATACATGGTTAGCGAACAAGACCCAATCATTAGGTATTTTTAAAATCAACATGAAATCAAATTTGAACCCATTTACTTTCATATTAGATTTTCCTGGTCATACTTTCAATGATTCAGTGGTGCACATTATTCCAAAGAATAAAATGTTTGTCTTTGAAATCTTTTATGAAAATGTAAGAACTTAACTTGATTTTTTTACTCTCTAATTTTCAACCCTTCTTCTACAATCACCGGTCATACAGAGATCACAGTGAGCTACCTGTGCTGGTCTATATGTAATACCCGCTTTTCACAATCCAATCAAATCCCGTTAGCTAAAATAAAGCCCCCGTCTACATTTTTTTAAGCTGCATTACAGAAGTAAAATGGGCTGAATGCAGATTCATGCTGATTTGAAATTAGCACCCCAGTCAATGATCAGATTACAGCAGTGATTGACAGTGTTAACGTATGAATAATTGTAAGCAGGAAATTGAGATGACACTTACTCAGCATGCCCATTCCCAGCATAAAGGCGTCCATGGTGTAGGGCAGACCTCTGGCTCTCCCCCGCGTCCCTGGAGGAAACATCACTTCCTTCGGCTGGGCCTTCTTACATTCTACCTGTGGATGGAGCACAAAAGATGTTGTTTCAGTACTAATAAGACCACTTATTGCATCAAGGTACTGTCCGACTATTACAAATGTCCTGCCCACACGGCATAAGAACAGTGTTGTTCATATCTGGCTTGTGTCACCTTGCAGACAAACTATCAGAGCTCTCATAAGGATAATATATCTCTTGTTAGAAAAATGAAAGGGACTAAAACAAACACTCTGTTTCAGTCTGTGAAATCACAGTGTTTGTGCATCTCAGTTGGTAATGTACTGCCTTAATGCTGCTGTAGTTTTTTTGAGAGAGCGCTTTTGATGTTTACATGTTTGCGAAGGCATGCCGTGCACTGCCTTCGGGCAAAAAAGAATAAGTTCTTTAAAAAAAAAAGTTGTTTTTATTTTTTGTTTCCTCATCATTCCCCTACTGTCTTGCCACTCCAATCTGGTCCTCCTCATCGAACCATTTCTACCCAGGGCACTTCCCCCCTGATCACCCCCCAACCAGCTCCCTGCCGCCTTCTACTGATAATTTTCCTGCTGTGCTGACTGACATTTCGCCCTCCTCCACAATGCACGGTTAAAAGTCTGTTCATGACAGAACACACAGAGTGGGCGTCAAGAATGACAGACCAACTGCAAACACGGGCATCAAAATTAAGTACAGCTCCAGAATGAAGGATCCATGGGTTTGCGGTACTGACACGGTAAGACACGGTGTCGTGCGCACAATGTTTCAACAAAGCCTCAACCACCTGAGAGATGCAGCCGCTCTTTATTTAAGCCCAATGAAAGCACATATGACCGGGAGGGCATGTAGTGTCTGACAGACTGATTACTGGTGCATGTATACACTCCATCGTGCACACGGAGCCTAGGGTAAGTATAGTGGTAAATGCACATGAACGGCTTATTTGGATTGACTATGAGCACTATGAGGGGCTCTTGTAGGGCATAGTAGACAATCTGTCCTCACCATGTCAACCTCTATTTGTCCATTTATATTATAGACGCTTGCCTGCTCTTCTCTGGAGCTTCAGTTCGACTGGCTAACGGCAAATGCACACTACAAGACAGAAGTTCAGCACCCTTTCATGTTTTAATTATGTGATTTAAAACACTTGTATGAATGTTAAATGAATAGAAAGATCTAAAACATGGGCTTTCAAACTGGTGTCCGGGAACCCTCAAGGAGCGCTGTATATACAGGTGCATCTCAATAAATTATAATGTCATGGAAAAGTTCATTTATTTCAGTAATTCAACTCAAATTGTGAAACTCGTGTATTAAATAAATTCAATGCACACAGACCGAAGTAGTTTAAGTCTTTGGTTCTTTTAATTGTGATGATTTTGGCTCACATTTAACAAAAACCCACCAATTCACTATCTCAACAAATTAGAATACTTCATAAGACCAATAAAAAAAACATTTTTAGTGAATTGTTGGCCTTCTGGAAAGTATGTTCATTTACTCAATACTTGGTAGGGGCTCCTTTTGCTTTAATTACTGCCTCAACTCGGCATGGCATGGAGGTGATCAGTTTGTGGCACTGCTGAGGTGGTATGGAAGCCCAGGTTTCTTTGACAGTGGCCTTCA